TTKRAWTTTTTTTTCCGATAGAAATTGCGACCTGCATCCTGCYCGCCATCCGAAAAATGCATATGCGGGACGCATCGGGCAATTGTTCCCCAAAGGCAGAATATCAAAGATATCGTATCCAAAAAATTTGTGAAACATGTTCAAATATATAACTATAAAGCCTAGACAAGTCGCTTGAATCAATTATTTCTTTCCCTCCCTAAAACACCCCAAAAAAGTTGATTTTTTGAAGCCTCTAAAGCAGGCTCTCTTAACACTTGCCATCGTGTGTCCGCGATCTTCACTGTTCGGAGACACGAGAGAAATAGCAGGAACAGTGAAAAACGTAGAATCGTGGGTCGCGTCAGCTGATACGACCTATCTTATGGGCGCGCAATGTAAGTGCACAGTGAAAAACACTACTCCCTTCTCTCTTTGTCGTAGTATGACATGGGAATCTACAGCATTTTGGTTTTTGCCGTGGAAACGTGTCAGCTGATTGCTCTCTCACAATCCAGGGTTGCCAATATCTATATACTGTAGTAATTATCAACTTTTATAATTCAATCTGTTTAATATGTTTGAAATTTTCTTAAAATAACTCAAAATCAGAGCCGAATGCTATTATTTATAAATATATAAACTATTTTTAATAGTTCGTAATTGTACAAAACTCTATATGCGTATTGAGCAATAGAAACATTGTGCAAATAAAAAAAAAAAAACAAAGATGGTTGAATTCTGCGTTTTTGCCACGTTTTTCACTGCTCACACATTTTGTCGATTAGGAAGGAAAAGGAAGGAAGGCAGTAGCGTTTTTCACTGGCTCTGCTAAAATGAGATTTTGAGCGCACACAACGTCATACACGACACACATGTGCGCGCACCGATCGTAAAAAATCAAACATTGATTTTATCATATGTCGAGTAAACCGCATGGGCACACATACCGATCGAACGCACTTGTGTGTCGTGTATGKGCGCTTTAACAGCTACCCGTCCTGCAGGGATCATTCCATTTGAGCCGGATGTCGGCTATGTTGACATTTTTGTTCATTATGCAGCGCATTATTGTTGAAAATTTAACTATGCTTCTTTGAAGTACTACGATTTTTCGATTGGGCAACATTTTCATATTAAATAATCGAGATAAATAGAGAATATATGAAATTATATATTAAGTAAACATATAATGCTTCCTAAGTTACCGCAAAGTGAACAATCACTTACGTACCTGTTTGGTCCTAAAAATTTTCTGATCAAAAATATACCGAAAATTACAACTATTTAAGACGTAATCCTCATTGGTTTAACAGCATACACCAGCATATTGAAATATTCGAGTCTACAGTTCTATGACAACGATACTGAATTTTTTAAGATCAATATGTATAGAAACAGAAAATCAGAGGAAACAAAATTTTGTAAATAAATATGTATATTTAATTTGTATGACGTTGAAATTTTATTTCTATTTCTTATATTACAACGGCTATTATTTTAAATATCTATGCCTATCAACTAGTAATGTCACCCGGTTATGTGTCATTTTGTTTCAGTGTTGATTAACAAATATCGTAACAAACCGACTTACGTTCTCTGATTACCAACAGCTGATTCTTCACTGCCAAAGCAGTACAGACTCTTACACTAACAATCGATAGTGTCAATAGGAGGATTCCAATTTCTATATTTCCATATTTAAGTGATTTTCTTTGAAAGAAGTTCATAAAAAACCTAATTTATACTTGGTTTCTTTTGATTAATATTGTACAGAAATTATACGTTATAAAGTTTCTTTTAGTATTGACTCCATAATTAGGATCAGAAGAGGAGTCTTTTCTAAAGTTTATGTAGCAGCTTTTCTTCATCTCTARTGGCTTGAAAAATCCTTAATTTCTGTTGCAATATGTCAAAAATGTCGCTATTTACTTCTAAAAATTTAGAAATATTTRTTAATGAATTTCTCAAAGAAGATCTGAAACAACTAGAGCACCACATAAATAACTACAACGGTGAAATCATGGAGTATGTGCAACTCAAAAATACATTAGAGGCGCTAAATGAAAACTTTGACGGATCCTTTAAAACACAAATGGGTAAGTAAGCGAATTATATTTTGTTTTCTAATAGCTTATCTATTTCGTAGATATTGGAGGCAATATGTTCATGGAGGCTAAAGTGGATAACCCATCCAACTCGGTCTTAGTTGATGTAGGAAAAGGTTATTTCGTGGAATTCACCTTGGAGGAGGCATTAAAATTTCTAGAATTTAAAGTAAAGGTACTTACAAAAGAATGTAATGTTCTGCGTGAAGAAAGTGTGAAAAAACGGTCCGATATAAAACTTGCGTTGATGTGCATTGCTGAACAAGAAAAGTTCTACCCGAACAACCAAGATTAAAGGCGTTTAAGATGTTCCTAAATTTTAAATACTATCCAAAGCGTTTTATCAGATTAAATGGATATAATTTTGAGTATAAAAATAAAACGTTTTTTGTTTTAAACTATTGTATGGCATATGTGCTCCTAGTAGTGAATAAGCGGGGTAATTGAAGTCTCTGYGAACAGTAGAGGAGACAAGAAGGTCCAAGAGATATCTGTTTACTTTCGAACACATGCCTTCGATTCCATTGCCTGACATCAGTCATTTGCATATGAGGAGATGGAAATTCTCTCTGGTGGTTGAGGGAGTTTAGAAATATGCACGTTAAACTATTCACAGGATGGTTTTTTATTTTGGCGTTTATGGCATGCTGTGGTGGGGTTGTACACTTCAGGGAAGCCATGTTAATCTTTTAGACTCAAGAGTGATCAGCGAGAGCCTGAGGACCTCGGTTGGCAGCTTACTTACGTCGAGCCTAAATGCCATAGTACATCGCCTTGCTGATGACACTCTGATTCTACATATCGGTGAATGCGCACTCCCATCAGTACCACAGATTTCAAAAGGCTTAACATCATGATACATTCCATGATCCTCTTGAATGCAATTGAAGCGATATTATGCCAATTCGGATACAGAACCGTTAGTTTGCATATGAGGCTATACCCCTGTTGAACAGTTTATTCATGTGATTGCTGAGTCCAGTGTAGCTTAAGTGCTTACGCTGTTTTAGTCGAGTTTACAACAGCGCGCTAACCGTTATTCCCTTCCTTTGTTTGGCGCCAATTAGATATTCCAAGTGTAGCAGGTCCTCCTCCATCTGATCTTTCCAATGGAATGGAGGTCTTTTCCTTGCTTCCCCTGACGGGTACTGTGTCGAACACCCTTAGAGCTGGAGTGTTTTCTTCCATTTGGACGACACGAGCTATCCAGCGTAGATGATSTTGTTGTTGTTGTTGTTGTAGCGGCAGAGTTCTGCCGTAGATGATGTCTCTTTATTCGCTTAACTATGTCAATGTCGTCGTATATTTCGCTCAGCTCACGGTTTCATCGACCGTGGTATTCGCCTTTGCTAATGCCCACAAATCAGAAATCTTCCGCAGAACGTTTCYCTCGAAAGCTCGTAACGCCGCCTCATCAGATGTAGTCATCGTAGGGCGGGAATGATACGTGATTGGTCTTTGCGATGACTGTTTGTTTGATGACAGGAAATATTCCGTATTGCTCTCGTTCACTACCAGATCCATTTGTTTCGTTTCTTTGTCCAACCTGAAGAAAGTAGAATTAACGGCGCGTTATGGTCAATGATATCGTGCGCTAGCAGTTGTACACTCTTATACAAGAATGCACCTTCTGTAGCAATAGACTCAAAAAGTCACACGATAGGGAGTCTCCCTGTCTAAAACTTCGCTTGGTATCGAATAAGTCGGGGTGGTCCCTCCCATATTAACTTTGTGGGGATACCAAGTCTAGACATTGTACCATAGAAGCAGTTTGTTGACGGTGGGCTTTAATGTTTCACATAGTACGCTCGTTAGCACACTACATGAGTTTTTTGAAGCACAGAGGTGGTTGTGTCGAAAATACCATTTTTCCAACATTGGCGTTAAAGTCGTTAAGCACGATTTTGACAGCGTGATGGGACAGCTCACATAGGTGCACTCCAAGCGCTCATAAAAGACGTCTTTGATCACATCGTCCTTCTCTACCATTGGGGCGTGGGCACAAATCAGAAATATGTTGAAGAACTTCGCTTTGATGCGGATTGCGGCAGGACGTTCATAATCGGGGTCCATGCCGGGACTCGGCGACGGAGTCTTTCTCCCACCACGCATCCCACACCGAATTTGCGCTCCTTTATATGGCAGATGTAGTAAATGTCACAAGGACCTACTCGCCTTAGTCCTTGTCCAGTCCATCGGATTTATTGAACGTCGGTGATGCCAGCCTTTACCTTTACGAGAACATCAACCAATTTGGATCGGAAGACGTAAGCTGTTTGAGCCATATGCAAAAGAATCGATTCTGGCCACTCCCAAGTGAATGGCGCATAGAGTTAGTTTCCTTACATTTTAAATATTTACAATCTCTATGTAAGTGAAACCTCGAATTAAATTTAGATACTTTTATTAAAATTTTGTATTTCTCATATAGAAAACTTAAATTTATCTTAAGGTATTCTAAGTATTTCAGAACAAATAATTACTGGTGAATTGTTTTCAATTCAATTCCTCAACCYCAAAATTTATTAAATTCATACATACATGTGTATTTTGAACATTCGAAATTACCGCAATCGCACAGAACGGACGAGCAACTTCAAACTMAAATACATATGTTGTTACTTGKCCCCACCCAGTATGTAAAGTAAGTCTAAATGCTGCCACCTTCAGGGATTGTGCGGTATGTGGCACGTATGTATATACTCGTACATATGTACATATGTATGTATATCCCAAAGCTAAAATTGAGTTATTATTATTATTATTGACAAGTGGAAGTAACAACAGCTTTAATATACTTGCATACATATGTAAGTACATACTTCTTTACTGGSGKAGAAACCGCTTACTCGGTTATAACCGATTTTACAACAGCGCGCCAGTCGTTTCTTCTTTTCGCTACGTGGCGCCAACTGGAAATTCCAAGCGAAGCCAGGTCCTTCTCCATCTGGTCCTTCCAACGAAGTGGAGGTCTTCCTCTTGCTCTGTTTCTCCCGGCGGGTACTGGGTCGAATACTTTCAAAGCTGGAGTGTTTTCGTCCATTCGGATGATATGCCCTAGCCAGCGTAGCCGCTGTCTTTTAACTATGTCAATGTTATCATATTCTCGTACAGGTCATCGTTCCATCGCCCCGGCGAAGTCGATCAGCCTCAACCCATTTGGGGATGTTTCCTCGTGAAGGCTGAATTTACCGACCGTACTGCTAAAGAAACCTTCTTTGACCACCATGGCGTTAAAGGCGCCAAGCAGGATTTTGACATCGTGGCGGGGGCAGCTCTCATAAGTGCGCTCCAAGCACTCATAAAACGCATCTTTGGTCACATCGTACTTCTCATCCGTCGGGGTGTGGGCGCAAATCAGCGATATGATGAAGGATTGTGGCTAGACGTTCATTCACCGGAGTGAATGATAGTACTCGGCGACTGAGTCTCTCTCCCACCACGAATCCCACACCAAACTTGCGCTCCTTTATATGGCCACTGTAGTAAATGCCACAAGGACCTACTCGTCTCTCTCCTTGTCCCGTCCATTGCATTTCTTGGGCGGCGGTGATGTCAACCTTTATTTTCACGAGGACATCAACCAGCTGGGCAGCGGCACCTTCCCAATTAAGGGACGGGACATTCCAGGCGCATGCCCACAAATCGTAGTCCTTAATTCATTTGCTTTAGTCGTCATCAAAAGGGGGGTCTCTCATCCAAGGCTGTTGCAATTTTTTCATTAGSCGGGTCCTAAACCCAGCGCACAACCCTATGTAGGGGATGTTTCGCCTTCYCACGTTAGCTCGGCTTCAAACGGATGTTCTTAGGCTACCCAGAGGATACTTAGTCAAAGACCGGAAGTCGTGAGTTGCTTGAGCCATATGTAAAAGAATTGTTTCTGGCCACTCCCAAGTGAATGGCGATCAGAGAACTTTCCCCACTTGCGTGGACTTCTACACATGACKTCATCCTATATATATAGTAAATAGAAAAAGAGTGGACCATTCTTAATTTTTAACAATATTATTTCTAATTATAAACATTTTCAAATTCCATTTAAAAACGATTGCTTAAACATTTGTTAATCTCATTGGTTTAAGAAAAGGGGAGAATGAGCAGGCTGTCGGCGATCAATAGATGTTGCCTGGCAATGCGGTTATCTATTGTGATATTAGAATTGTTTTCCGGTTCCACATAGTGATAAAAAATCACCTTATTAAAAAAAATCCACTTTCAGTATAAACCTTATTTACGTATACTCGTATATGTGTTCTTACTTATTTTTATGCTCTTGAAACCAGTTGCTACAGAGTATTATAGTTTTGTTCACCTAAGCAGGTTTCTTATAACAATAAAAAGTTCGAGTTTGTAGATGAGCGTAATCGGACCACTGCCACGCCCACAAATCGCTATTATCTAAGCACCTAATTAAAATATAAAACTCATATTTTGCACAGSGGATCGCAGTAGCCAGGGGTACCTTATCTCCTAAGCCTCTAAAGTTACAACAACCAAATTMGCTCAGCGGAAATATTAACAAATATTATGTTGTCAAAAAAGTCTTGCGGTATTTTTTTATTGAATTTTCAATTGTTCATAAAATTTTTTTTGATGATTCATGCCCAGCACCGATGCTACATGGCTGCTACTATGCTGGTCTCTTTCGACCAATTCAGCGATTTTATCGCAATTTTCGACGACAGGCCTTCCGGAGCGTCGCGCATCTTCGACCACCTCTACATCAGAATGAAAACGTTGAAACCATCGTTGTGCGGTGGAAATGGAAACTGTATTGGGTCCATAAACTGCACAAATTTTATTGGCGGCTTGAGATGCATTTTTGCCTTTATCTAGTAGTACTGTAAAATATGCGGTATGTTCTCTTTATTTTGCTCCATGTTTGCAACGCCATAACTCACGAACTAAACGGAAACGACAATCACTCAAACACGTGTTAGCGCGTAAAATGAGCTTTCCAAAAAGATATAGCATGACCCGATGCGACGAATAAAAYTAGAACTACGCGCTCTCAGCGCMRACTAGCGAAATATGTATAGTGTGGAAATGGACAAAATCGGATGAAAATCTCATTCACTCCCCATGTAACGGTACTGTTGAAAACTAYTAAAAGCACGATAAATCAGTAACTAAATGCGTGAGAGATATTAAATTTTACCTCGTGGATGGTATTAGAGAGTTTGATGGGAGTCGGTGTGAAAATAGGAAAATGGAAGTGGCACCGCCCACTTTTTGGGGAAATCCCATATCTCGGGACCCGATCAAAAGATTTCGACAAAATTTGGTACGTGGTATTTTTTTCATAATCTTTTCTCCAGTTATGAAA